GCAGAAAGAACTGAGAGTACATTACAGAACACCTGTAATGAATGTGGAAGGCCATATAAAACATAAATCAAAGTTTTTTGTAATTATATTACAGTATCTTAAAAAAAAATGTCAGTAATAAGAATGGAATGGAAAGAATTTTTTAAATAAGTGGCAGGAATGAGTGTCCATAGAACAACAATAAAACAATAAAAGAACAATTTTAGAATAGAACAAATAAGAAGAAAAATAAAAGAATAAGATTATAACAAAATTAAAAGTGCAAAACTGATTAGATGGTAATAATGAAATAGCATTTATTTTTTCAAAAATTTTAAGCACGGTCCATGTTGCATATTTTAATAGAAACGTCGTTCATGGTTGAGAAAGAGTTAAAGGCAGCGGTGTGAGGGAAGTGGTGGGAGAGAAACACTAAATGTAGCCACTCTGTCCATTGTTGTTTTTTTTCCCCCTTCTCCTCTAAAAGTACACAAAAGCAGCGCCAGTCCATTGTGGTGCAAAACAGAGAGCAGGCAGGGCGACCTGGGTCGAGAGAGGAGGCTCAGGGACCAACACACACGCACACACGCACACACACACATTCATTCTTTCAATCAGCTTCCCTCCGTCACAGAAACAATTCACGAGCTCATGAGTCGAAGCGTACAAACACACATTCACACAAATACGTGCACATACACACACACACACACACACACACACACAATTCCCAATCTTGCAGTTGGAGACACACACAAACACAAACACACATACTTACACATGCGCACACATACACACAGTATTCAGACCCTTGTCGTATTCACTGGAGTTAAGGTGCATATCCCTGCTCTCTCCCACGCAGCGCTTTGTGTTGATTGAGCAAGTTGCTCTGGTTTGAGAGGAGATGAATGTGACATTTAAGACTGAACTAACACACACTCACACACTCACACACTCACACACTCTCTCACTCTCTCTCTCTTGCTCTCTCTCTCTCTCTCTCTCTCTCTCTCTCTCACACACACACACACACACACATATACACAGTAAAAGCGCTCTGTCATCATTGTGCTCTTGCCCTGAGGCTGAGATCGTGGATCAGACAAACCAAACCAAATGCCACTATTAGCCATTAGAGAACAGGCAAACAAATCTGACCTTAAATCAGCCTCTGGGACAATTACATTAGCTATCATATCTGCTCTGGTACTCTGCAATGTGCCATCCATAACGTGCTGATTTGAAGACTTTGTCTCTGTTTGTCAGTCTCGCATAAAGATCTATTCATCTAGTCACCAAATCATCGGCTTTTCCATTCCTGGTATTTATTTATTTTTTTTTTTTTAACTCATTTAACTGCTTTTGAATGAATGAATGGTCACAAAATTGTTTCTTTCCATCACTGTTGTCTTTCATCTTTTCAGGGAGATAATATGACAAGCTCAAGGTCTGCTGCTCAGTTACAGAGCATCATCTCCTTTCCATATGTCCCTGAGAGCAAGCTAAAGACGATTAAGTAAAGATAATATTGCAGCACAGTGAGGCGGATGCTCATGCTTTAATAAGCAAAGCTGCCGTTTCAGTATCTAATGGTCCGCAGTGAGTGGGGGCCCTCTGGTGGTCACTGCAGGTAACAGCGCCTCTGTTATATAGGTCACACCACTCGTCATGGAGCTCTTCTGGGCTTTCTGTATGGCGTGTTTATCTGTGCTGAGACTGTGGGGATCAGAGGCAGACAGAGCTTCGTGCCAGTGCCCATGATGCACTGCACTGAGCGGCAGCGCTCTCGCCAGCTGCATGGATGCCAGGGACTTGGGGAAGGGGGGGCGGGGTTGTGTCTGCTGTGTGTGACACAGAAAAAAAAAGATAAAAAAGAACAGTATCTGTTTAGATTCACGTTCATGTTGTAGGAAGCTCGTGTTTCATGGTAGAAGGGAGGCAGTCCTGCTGGAACTTGTATCACTCCTCGAAGTTGCTGAAGCCTCCCTGAGCAAGACCCTGGATCCTACTCAGCTCAAAGGCAGCTGTTTTTAAGTAACCTTAATCACGTCCACATTGCTGAACTGCTGCCTCATTAAACTCACTAAGGGCTGGGGAAAATCACACCAAAAAAAAGTCGGGATAAACAGGTCTTTGGAAATCCTGAGGCTGCCGTTTAATTGGCTGTGGGGTTGAAAATGTTGGAAACAGCACCTCTAGTTGGTTTTGTTCCGTGGCATAATGTCATTGGCAGCCCACTGTGTCTCAGCGACATCTCTAGGCAACTTTTATCCCTAAATTCCTTGAGACCTCCGTCTTCATACTTGTTGACGAGGCCAAGAAAAATGTATGTATCACATCATTTCGTATAATCCAGGATAGCAAAAACCAACTTCTGGCCCAACATATGCCTGGGTCCTCGGCCCAAGTCTGGCCCGTATACTTCCACATCTGGGCAGATCATGGCTGTTCTCCTTCGGTATCATCTGACAGTCACATGATTTTCTTCGTGTGTGCCGGAATTAGTCCAGATGTGGGAAGTAGCGTCTGACTATAATGCTGTATATGGGCCACATTCGGCCCGAGGAACTGGGCATATATTGGGCCACAAGAAAACTAGCTGGATTTATTTTGCTACCTAAATATCTAAATATTTAATATAAAATAGGCTGATATTAGCTGGAATATTAAGGCATGTGCATATCTTTTTGATTTATTTTTGGTTGTGGCAGTCTATGTAATATCGTGTTTAATGCCAAAACCCACAGACATAAAGATTAATATCATAAAAAAAGACTTAAGAAAATCAGTAAATGTTCGCATTTGGAACCAGATGGAAATGTAGAGAAAGTAGAGAAATCCAGACATGACTGCTTAAAATTGACTTTGCCAATTAATCAGTTAACATAATTCTCGCCAATTGATATTCTGTCCATCCATATAATACATTTTTTGATGAATCGGATATTCCAAAAATATTCCAGTAGCTTCCATCTACGGTGATGTTCGCATGGACATTAACAATCATCTGGAGAAGGAGATGCATGTGAATAGCTTGACCCAAATATGTTAATAACCGAGACATGAGCAGCAATCTGAAACACTGTGTCCCCGGACTGTAAAAGCCTGCCTTTGCCTCTTGATGTACTTTCTTTGCTTCTTCCAAAGTGACGCAGCTGAACAGAGCAGACGGCCTCACAACATGTCTGAATCACTCTGTCTGTTTCTCTCTCTCTCTCTCTCTCTCTCTGGCTCTCTCTCTCTCTCTCCTCTCTCTCTCGCTCTTTCACTGTGGTTTTTTTGTCTTTTTCTCGCCGGCTGCCTGCTTCTGAACAACAACTCGCATGCCAGCACACACATGCCTACACGCTCTCTCACACACACACACACACACACGCACACACGCACACACACACTTGACAAATAGCCCATCTTTCTGAGGATAACCTAAACCCTGCGTTCTTAACAACACTCATTCCTTAACACTAGCCTGGGCCGCAACCGCTGCATGCCTATAGACTGAATCCTTCAACCGCTGGTCCCAAAACCTGAAAACCAAACCCTGAGCTTCCTCCTTTCAGAAGTTCAAATCAGTATCCTTGGATATAAACAGAATAACAGACAACAGAATTAACTGCACACTGAATATACGTGTATGTATAATATATGAATGTATATTAATAATGATAATGAATAATTAACACTGTATATACAGATGGTTATCTTTAAGGTGTAAAAGAAGAAGTGAACTCGCACGATGTTTCACACTTTAATATCTTAGCACAGAGAGCTGTTTTGATTTCTGTCCAGGTATAAGAGGGGGTGAACCAATCGAACGTTTCTCTCCTGATAATAGAGTCCAATATTTCAACTCAGTATATTTGCAGTTACAGAATATCAATCCAATATGAGTGCTGCCTTTTTCCCGAATTTAAAAGCTGTATACCTCCACGCTTGAAATCATTTTTTATGCAAGGTAGTGCCGACAGAATAGATGTAACTGTAATTGATCATGCCTCGGCCAATACCCGTCCCCCCTTAATAAGCAGTTTCATTGTCAGTACCGATCTGGTCGGATTGGTCGATCTCGTCTCATGACACCTCATTTAGTCTACTTTTCAAGTGTGGGTAGATTTGTGGACTTGCCTCTCCTCTTACACCGATACAGTAAGCCAAGTCTGACAAGGACTAGCAAGGAAATGTTCTTCTTCAATCCGTCCACTAGAGGGAGACGGAGAGCTGCAGAAGTTTCCACTAGAGCTTGAGTTGAGTTGATGCTGTAGGTAAAAGCCCAAAAGGCTACAAAGTGTAAAAGATAAGGCTGATTTTCTTTCCTTTTTTTTTTTTTTTTTTAATCTTATTTTCCTAAATCCCATGAAAAGTGGAAAGCCAATAATGCCGGAGTCCTCTGAGGACTTTCTTAATTCCCTTCTCTGTCTGAGCCTCTCAGTTCCAAGCCCACTGGTTTCTACTGCAGATGTCAAAACAGCTCACACATATCTAGTCTATTTTTTACCAAATGTTACTCAAACAGAAGTAAACAGTGCATTTGTTGGGGACTATTTTCAGCTGTGGATTAATACAGATGTGGTTGTCTAGTGGGTATTTATAGCAGTAGGATGGCGTTTATGTTAATTGTAATGAAGAAACATGTCCCCCAGAGCAATGGTGTTATTTGTGTAGTTTTGTTTGTTTGTTTTCACCAATCTGATTCTTTAAGTGAATCTCAATCCTCTCTTTCGGTTGTCCACTAAACACAAAGTCTGCCAACAAATGAACTATTCTGTTCTCAGTGTCTTTGTGCTTTTTCATCCCACTCTGACGGTGTGCTATTGTCATTAGCTAAGATTTCCTTACTGTTTTCCATTGTAGAGTCTGGGAAGTAGGTGGGCTGTTTTACTCGCCAAAGAAACAATATTAGGAAATTTTCAACCGCAGTTTTTTTTTGTTTCTTTCTCCTCTTTAGTTTCTGTTGCCTCCTTTTCATTTTATTCTATATATCTAACTGTTTCTCCTTCTCTCCTCTCTCTGCCTCTGAACAGACCATGGCGGAGTACAGCTCTCTGCTCAGCGACCTGTCTGAAAACATCACCAACGAGGACTTGGAGCAGCTCAAGTCGGCCTGCAAGGAGGACATCCCCGAGGACCAGAGCAACAACATCACCTCCTCCAAAGAGTGGTTCAGCTACCTGGAGAAGAACGACAAGTTGGCCCAGGGTGAGACTCAAATTAAATCAAATAGCTCATATTTTATATTTTCTAGATGCTTATTTCCACATCCGCTACGCCCAAACCGATGTCTGAAGCATCGTCACATCAGGTGTGATATTAGCTTGAGGCCTTTTCAGTGACCAGACCCTCTAACAACACCTCCCATGCAGATAACCTGTCATACATCGAGCACATCTTTGAGATTTCACGGCGACCGGACCTGTTGACGAGGGTGATCGAGTACCGCACCACCGTGCTCAAGATCTCTGAGGATGACGAGATCGACACCAAGCTCACACGCATCCCCTCGGCCAAGAAATACAAAGGTAACACACCCTCTGTGCTTAATCTCTAGACCGTGCAGATGTGGGGTTAGATCAGATCAGTTCTTAAAATAACAACCTCATACACATATGGCATTAAGAATAATCTACAGGCCAACTGTGTAAATATTTAGAAAACATATGAACATACATATATTGTCTAGATTAATGTTGTAAAAATTGGTTGAATAAGGATTTAAATGGGGTAATAAAAGCTGAAAAGTCCAGGCTTTAACTGCCAATATGAAGTGCGATCAGTGCCAGATTCTGGGGCCAATACCAATGTTGACAGATAAAAAAATAAGATAAAAGAAGATAAAAAAGAAAATAAAGACTCTTATAATGATATACTTGCTCATTTATTCCCTCTTTTTTTCCCTTTTTCCTCCTTTCGCCATTTCCCTTTTTGATAAAATTAGATTTTTAAAGCATCAATCTTGCCTTTACTTTATCTTACATGTATTCTGGTATTAATAATCGATTTGAGGAAATTATTCAGATCATCGTGTCCTTTTGAGTTTAAATAAAGAATAAAGAGATTGAGACTTAATGCTGCAACCAGTGAAAGTGGTTTTCCACAGGAGGAGTTGCATGGGGTTTGATATAGTGACACTGACTGATAGAGAGCTACAGATGCTAAACTGGGTTTAATGGCTACAACTTTCTATGTTTAAAGTACAGATTTCTTATGATTTCTGTTTTTCTCTTTCTCCCTCTACCCTCTTTTTCAACCCCCACCCCCAAAACAAAAGACATCATCCGCCAGCCCTCTGAAGATGAGATCATCAAGTTGGCCCCGCCCCCTAAAAAAGTGTGAGGTCGCGACCCTCAGCCCTGATCTTTGCACCTTGATTTCTTCACTCCTGGCACTCTAATCAACCGACCAACCATTTCTGACCAACCCCATCCCTCCCCCGCTTCACCACCCCTCTCACACCCCGCACACACAGACATACTTACATGCATACATACACACACACATACAGATAACAAATACACACACACCCAGCCCTGCCCCCTCCTCCCTGCACTAACACTTGCCACGGCACTGAACCACGCAGGCAGCCACCTACAAAGCCAACCAATCAGATCGTAGCGATGCAGCCTCTTCCCAAGCTGGGGAGAGACGGGAAGCTGCGGGGGAAAAAAAAAAAGACAATAGACGAAGAAATCTGGAGACCGACAGTGTATGTGTGTGGGAGAGAGAGAGAGAGAGATAGAGCCAAAGTCTACCCTCGATTCAAACGCTGAGTGGGTCAGTTCACAATGAGTGTAATCTGTAAACACTGTTCAATCTGTGATGCTGTGTTAATGCAACATTCTGTGAGTGTGTGTGAGTTCACATCAGTCAAGGCTGTTATAGTTAAAAGATATCCAACCATTTGAATTTAAAACCACAAACCCTGCTTCAAAACTTAACAACAAAATGAGACTGTTAAAGTTTTATTCTTTCAGAAATTCTGAAAAGTTCAGAAAGCCGACAGGTGAACTGACAAGTACATATTTCATGTACAGTGATACATTATTATGACTAACAGAATTCAGCAGTGCTTTGTTTTTTTGTTTTTTGTTTTTTTTACTTCACCTTGAATGTTCAAAATGAAACTGACAGACTGAAAACTACTATCTGGAGACAAAATTAAACTAAAACATGTTAATACATAGTTTACATGATCAAAAGCAATTTTAAAAACTGAAGTTAATACTTAGCAAAAAACTAAGTAAGTAAGTAAAACTAATCTTAATATGACTCGGTTCATTTCTATGACAGTGCTTGTTTCAGTGTATAGCTGCATATTTGTTCAGGTGTGTTTGGGAAATTTGCTTATTTGCTTTCTTGCTTGTGACTTAGATGGGAATATTTGAAACCGCGCTAATGTATTTCTGTTTATACAGCTAAGTATAAGCTACAGTTAGCAGAGGGTTAGCATAAATATAGGAAACGGTGAAGCTAGTCTGGCTAGTCTCGTTACATTTTGATTTTTGTACGGTTTAAATAAATGAGATGTGTTGTGTTAACTGGCTTGTAGGTGGACGTTGTTAGCTTTTGACAGAGCCAAGCTAGCTGTTTCCACCTGTTTGCAGTCTTTATGATAAACTAAGCTAACCCGCCGCTGGATGTAGCTTCATGTATTCATCACACAGCGGTATCTTCTCATCAAATTCTAAGGAAGGAAGCCAATAAGCATATGTGTCCCCAAATGTCTAACTCTTCCTGTAAAGCCCATATAGTCCACAAATCATTATACCATGAGGTCGCTGTAATTCAAACAAAACTTAATGTCAAACTTAAAGGATCAGGCAGTCACTCCTCAGTGTGAGGCTCTGTATGCATTCCCTTTACTCTTACGCAGATAATTGTATCATGTTTTAAGAGCAAAAAAATTATAAATATTTTAGAGGAAGATATTTAAAGTTGATTTTCATATGAAAAAACAATATTTGACTTAAGCTTATAATCATAGTAAGAGTTATTTACATAAAATATTAAGATGGGAAAGTTCTAGCAGTTATTTCTATACCATGGACGCTCCCTGTCCGTAGGTTTTCTTTACATCAAAAGGACCAGTTAGCGTGAAAGTCTTGCTGTATGAGCTGGTTAGAGATGTAAATATACAAATAATATATTACGAGAAAATATAGCAGAAATAATATATTGACCTGCAGTGTGTATCCCATAGAGGAGCGAATTTCCACTGTACGTTCAGTTTCACCATGTCTAAAGACTTTCAACCTAACCTTAATCTAATCTGAAACTTCAGTCTCTCTGTGAACAAATTAATTGGAAAAAGAAACATATAGCGAGCACTAAAGTACATCTACTTTGGATTACACTTGAGAATATTAAAGTATATTTTGAGAGAGTATATCGGATATTATATTTACAGCGTGAACATGTTGTGTTTCGTGACACATATAAAAAGACAAATACTAAACTTTCTTTCACCCGTTTGTTGCCATTTCATTTGTTTCACAGAAAATAACTGACCTGTATGTGAGTTCTTCTCTTCTAGTTTGAATGAAAGACAAATTAAAGCCTCTGGAGATAAAAAATATATATATATATATAAAAAAATAAGTGCAGATCAAAGTTGGAAAAAAAAAGGAGGAAATGTCAAAAAGAAAACCATGGCATGCGATAATAATAAACCATGTCCTTTAATAAACTGTACATAAAATAGATTGTGACAAGGATCTATAATGCACAGGACGGCTCATAACCTGCTGACTATGCCATTCCCACCATGCACCAACACAATAGCTAGCAAGACTGTTGAAACTAAACTATAATAACTGCTCTTTTGAACACTGTGTCTCTTTTATCCCCGCGAAGACGCCTTAGCAGACTTTGTGTTTACCCCGAAATTTTTTCACGACTGTGAGAGATTGTGTGTGAAGCGGAGACAGACGCCGACGCACACGTCAAGTTAATCAAAGCGGCTCTCACTTTTAAAGAGAGCGTTGCTACTTTTATTCTGAAATTTGCTAAGGACTTCAGTGTTGGTGTGTACAGAATGTCTGTGTGGATCTATTTCTAGACCCCCACCCCCGTCTTTGTTGTCCTCGAAGCTGTAGGATCAAAAAAAAAAAAAAAATGAACCAACAACATAAAAATCTATCAGTGTATGACTAATCATTTATCCCAGGCCCGCTACCTCCCTCCCCCCTTTCCCTCACCAACAACCCCAGTGCCAATGACCAAGACTTTTGTTTCGATCACAGTTTCTGTGATCCGTCTTCTTTTTCTTTTGTATTGCTCGCCGTATATTGTAGTGTTGGACTGATTTGTATCCTATGCATTTATGTCTGTAGGAAAACTGCACTGTAACATACCCTCCCAAACAAATCACTTAAATCTTAAGAACTGAGCTCTTTAATGGTGACGAGTCAGGGTGTTTGACACGATCCTGATATTCTTGAGTTTGAGTTTGTATGACGGATGTGCTCGGTGAGGTGGCACTTGAGAAGAGGAATTCAAAGTATGTTGTTTCAGAGAAGGAAATAAATGCTTGTCGAGAAATGTTTATTGTTTCAAACTGGGGGTATTAAAAAAAGAAAACTTGTTAGACCAACTATACTGTATGACTCACATTTTACTTTTTTGCAAGCCAAGTCTTACATAACTAAAACATTCAATAGTCCTTTAATGCCTGAACATGTATGGCAAGGTTTGATAGTTTACAAACAGTGGACGAGTTTGTCTTTGCATAAAACATCCAGTTAATGTTGGCCAGATCAAGCTTTTTATGGTATTGTTAAAGGAATAGTCTACCCTTAAATACTTTAACACTGTCATACTTTGAATTAAGCCGAGCCTGTTTTGCATTTCCTCCACAGAGTGGTAGATGGTATTGTGAATGGCACACAGTGTTTTCAATTGATCAACCACTTTGGTCTAGACTGAAATATTTTAACAACTGTTGGATTGATTGGCATGAAATTCATGGTCCCCTGAGGATAAGTTAGCGTTCAACTCGCTGCACCACTGTGCCTAAGTGCAGCCTTACAGAGTCATTAGCTGTCTAACTCTTGTCCTGTTTATCTCTGAAGCCACATCTGAGTTTAGGAACACTTTTGTTTTATTCTTCCACAAAATCAACCATTAAGTTTTTGTCCTCAGAGAGAGGGGGCTTATTTCAAATTCAGTCATATAAAAAAAAAAACTGTATAATCCAACACTTCATCATAAAATATCTCCAGGTACATACATCAAATTGATGATACATGACAGTGCCAAAGTATTTCCTGGGTGGATTTTCCCTTCAGCGCCCAGACTATCCCTCGCTAGGCCGGACCCTAAGTGAAGCGGTAGCTGCCTTCCTGTAACCTTGAGCCTATTGAACACGAACTGGGATCACAGCATCAATCACAGAGAAGGAAGCATCTTGTCAGGCAAAAGGGAGGCAGTTGTACTCACTGCTATGACCTGTGGGCAATGGTCTTTCCCAGTGTTAAAATGGATGTGATTACTGACCATAAATGTTGGATTGTCATTCACCAATTCCAGCTTTGGTAATTCTACAAACCAAAATAAAGATTTTTTTTTTTCCCCCAGATTTCAGCATGTTTCCATTTCCGCACAAAATATCAGCAAGGGAGGATTTGGGCCATTGTATTTTATTTCTCTTTCTTTTTATTTTAAATGCTTTTTGAATAGCAACTCGTGAATTTAGATGTATGTGACCAAGTGACTTTTAATTTTTTTTTCTTCTTCTCTCAGAATTTCAGTAGGCAATGGACTCATGTTAGCAATTGTGTGGTAGTTTGTCAGTAGTTTGACAGTAGGATTGTCGATTCAATATCTGTAAACATCAACAACAAAAAAAGAAAGAAAAAAAAAAAAAGCCAACTGCAGGATGCTCTAAGACACTCCTGATCGGAGCTTAAGTGGAGATGTTTCATTCAGGTTATTCACTGGAGTGTTTAAAATTTCTGTTGGCATCAAATTATGGCTGTGCTGCACCCCCTTATTTTATTTTATTTCATTTACATCGACTTCCTGCTTCCTCCTCCTCTAAAGTCAACGCCCATCAATGTCACCATGTGGCACAGCCCCACAACTTCGTCACCAAGCAGATTCTATGTTTTGGCATTGTTTAGTGTTTTCCTCTGTAGCCATCGGCACATAATATATCGACATATCAGTCAAAAATGATGTCAGAATTTGGATTTCCATGTACCAAGTACATATCAACTTAGTAAATGCTGCAAAGTATAGACCTACTAAAATATATATGTATTTATGGTGAATACCTGATTATAACCAATATATGGGTATAGATGAAATGAAGAGGCAGATACTGTGTGAAGGTATTCAGCATGTGATGCTAACAGTCAATTAAATTTCATTCAAACAAGAGTATCATTCTCCCCTTAAGGATAAAATTGTTTCTTTTTTTGTTTTTCCATTTTATTAGGTTGTAAATATGTATTTTGAATATATATCACTGTGTTTGTTTTGAAATTGATTAATTTATTTAATGCTTATATATTGTTGTTTTTACATACCCTGATTTTGTTTTACTAACAGGAAACAAATCAAGGGGATGAAAACATTGTGCTTATCTAATGTTAAGCAGGCCATGCATCAACACTTTTATAATTCATGTTATTCTCTTCATTTATGTTTTGCTGTTTCGGCTTTTGGTGATTATTTTACAACAACAACAAAAAAAAATGATATTCATTTCATTGTATTTACTGATATGTAACATATTATGTTTTACTGTGTTGTATTTGATCAGATGTGTCGTGGTCACTGCTTGTAAAATGATTTTTATTCAGAGAGTTTCCAAATCATGACAAAAGATAAACATGGTCACAGAATCATAATCTGCCATTTTGTTCATATAAGACATGATGTCACATGCACATTGCACCAAGAGCAGAAATTTTAAAGAGGATAGAGTTAAAATGTTTGGCTAGGTGCATCTAGAAAGTTCAAGAAATGTTCATCACTGATTTTTAGTCTTTTGAGAGCAATTGAAACAAATAGTTTTCATCTCAGTACTTTTATTTCCACATCTTTAGCAGTGTTTTCATGAAAAGTATGTTCTCATTCTACTCACTGAAAAAAGAAGACAACAAATTGGGTCTAAAAATCAGGCAATCGACAACCTTCATGTGAACAATAAGCAGTCTAGTTTTGTATGGAGCCGCAAAGTGTTCTATATTAAATACTAATGAATAGTGACATGAATGAGTAGTTGTTATAATTGTTAATAATTGTGTATAATAATAAATTGAGCAATTATTAATGTGATAACGAACCTTTAATTTAGCATTACAAGGCCTGGCTACCTTCCAAGGTAGCTAACCAGCTAGTAAAGCTGTAGCCGACTAAAGTTAGTTAATACTCCTGAACGACTCAGCCTAGTTAGCTAGCTGCAAAAAAGAAGAGGTTAAAGAAGAGGTTACTGTGTTTATTTGCAGCAGCAGCTTCTACTTAGTTGAATCAGAATAACTTGAGCGTTGTTTTTGCTCTAGCTGACATGAGCTAACTAGCTAAATTTGGAAAAGCAGTTGCTGAGCTGGCTAGCATAAGAGATGCTAGGGAGCTGTGATTGGCGTATTTATTTTTACACTGTTTATCTATTTAATATTGAACACTCAATGCTCTGCTGTTTTATTAGCTATTTTTACTTTTGAAGTAAGGTGTTAGTGAATGTTAAATGGGGTATGGATGAAGTGATAGAGTGAAGACGTTGATAGTATCAGTGCTGGGTAGAGTAGTGTGAAGAATCGTTTTGGGGTTGTAGCTGCTGTTGTAGAGCGAAATATGTAGGTTCATAGGGAAACATCTCTGGTATGTGTGGTATCAGCAGCTAGTTTAGTACAAGTTTGAATGTGGCAGTTCTTGCACAAGAATGCTGTACAATGGTGAGATGTAATCAAAAGATAAAAAGTGTCAGTGGTAGGAATGCTGAATGTGTGGTGATCCTGTCAGATGATGTTGTGCAGCTTTTATTTGCAATTTTTAACCATCACAGGAGGAGTCTTCTATAAAGTTTGGTGTTCCTAAATATTGTGAACAAGCTTTTTAACTACACCTACTTACATTTATCTGAAGCTGCACAGCAAAAAAAAAAAAAAAACAATAAAAAAAAAAGTACTTTTCTCTTTCTTTTCATTTTGGCAGATAAAGTTTACATTTCATGCACAAGAAAAGCTTCCACATTGTAGGTAAATTTGTAGGTAAAAGTGCCAACTTCATTTAGTTGCAAACTGCTGGGGTGTATTGACTTGAAATCATGACATGCTTGACTTTTAGCAATTTCTCATGATGTTTGTAGTGAACAATCTTTACTTCAGATGGTCACATTAATGTTTGTGGCTAGATCAGATGTTTTCTGAAGTGTGCGTGTTTTGCAGTAGTGGACAATAGAGGCTATTTTGAAGTGTTGTGTTTTCAACGCTAATTTGATCTTTCTAACTGGAGTGGTGTGATCTGTCACTGTGGTTGAAGGTTTAACATGAAGCTGAAAGACATTCCCGTGGTGGCTTTGAGGTTGTATAGGCATCTAACAATTTGACTTAGCATGAAAGGAGGTTTTTGCACAGGTGTCAGGACAGGACTTGAAAAGTCTAATTTTGTGTTATATTATACAGATTATCTCACTACAGTTGAGGGTGGATGCATCTTTGAATTTGAAAGTAGCAGAGATTTTCCCAAGATGCATTTACCTGTTGAAATTCTTCATTTTCAGATTCTAACTGGACTAAGCTGGAGGGACATCATCAAATGTGAACATATTCAACATTTTAATTCAAGTAACATTGCTGAGTTTAATTCATAGGCGCTGATCGTGTGTCACGGCCTTGAGAGTCAGTCAGTGGGATGTTTGCTCTCATATTCTGCCTTTTAATGTGCTTAGTTCTCAAATGGTGTAGCAAGTGACAGGTGTGGTTGTTTCACGCAGTCCATACCATCATGTTAGTCATACTTACTGCTCACAAACAATGTGATCACTTAGATTCACGCCCGTTGGACACAGTTGAGTTTGGTGCCAAGACAGTGAGGTGATCCAGTCCTGTCCCAGTAACAAAGAAACTGACTTGATTTTTGAGGCTGTGACACTGTGCTTAACAATGCAGTGAGGAGTGTCATCCCATCCATCACTACATTTTCACATACACTTCACAACATAACCCTGTTGGATGCCATGGGCTCAATGCTGTTAGAAACTTTTGCTAAGGTTTCCCTCTCATGGGGAAAGAAGTACTTCAGGATTTATTTTGCAACGACTGCAACAAAATATGATATGAGGTATTATTAAAACAAATATAAAGGTGTGGCTTTTTGTCATGATTTAAATGAGACTGAACTGAAATTATGCCATTTTGTCATTGTGCTAAAATGAATATAAATATTATATATTAAAATATATTTGCTAACCTATACTGTTTTGCCTGAATTTGCTTTCTTTCAAAGACGGATGAAAGACTACAAAATTCAAATATAACATAGTACATTTGAGGTGTACTTGTACTGTTTTTTTGACACTTTACTTATAGTCCACTTAATTTCACAGGAAAATGTACTTTTATCAATTTTTATTGCATTTATTTGGAAGACGTTTTTGTCCAACTGCACTTGACAATAAGTGCATTGGAGGAGGAGTATAACTCATGTTTAGTGTTATTCTACAAGTGTTTAGAGATGGGTTTTTGTTGGTTCAATCAACTTTTCAGTTGACCAAAAATTAATGGGCTGCTATTTTGACGTTTAAGTCAAATATTCTTGAAAAAAAAAAAAAAAAAAGCCAAATGTTTCATGGTTCCAGCATCTCCAAGTATTTGCTGCTTTTTGCATTGTAATTATTTTAATATTTATAACTATTTTAATAATTAGAATTACAAAACTATTAGAGTGAGGGACATTTCTCACTACTTGTTATAAAGCAAATATAATAAATATAAACAAAATAACCAGGAGATTCATCTTTAAAATAATCAGTGTAATATTAGTAGGACTCCCTCCAGCACTGTTGTCCCAGTACCTCATTATCTATATACAGTATCTCGCTTGACTCGTGAAGTATTTGTGTAATCATCATCTATGCAAAGCCCTGTGACAGAGATTTGATAACATCCAATCCAACACGTCCCTCAGGGTTTCACAAAAGTTTAATGCAACTCTGTAGCAACATGAAGAACAGGTTTTGATTCGTAACCGATAGTGAATGAATGGATTGTTAGGTTTCCTTATGAAGATTAAATTGTTTGCATGACGACCTGTCAACAACATTTCATATATAAGATTAACTCACCCCACCTTTTACTGGAAATCCTTGTAAGCGTTTCCAGTGAAACACAAGTATACTGCTACAACAAAATAATACAGCAATACCAGAACACATGTCATATCCCCAATTTCATCCCCCATTTTCTATTATCTATAAGGTTTTCCACTTCATTTTTCATTGCCAGGATCTGCCTGATTATGTAAATGAAATGTTTAAATGTTTATAAAATGTTTTTAGAATAAGATTTAAAAGATAAACATTTCTTGCATGCTTTGATATTTTCATGGATTTTCTCTTTATTTGTCTATCTTAGTTCTATATGCATTTGTATAAACATATGCACATGTGTATAACATATGCATCTGATATACATTACAAAACAAACACAATGTCCAATATGGCCTTGATTGACTCCTATGAACAGTTTGATCATAACACACTAATTACCTTTCACAGTTTTACAGTTATGTCTCGGATTTCACCTACCTACCTTGGGTGTGGCATGTGGCTATATTAACTCCAACCCCCTTGCAGGACATAGTTACCAGACATGAATACTGAACTGAGGACATGTTAACAAAACTTCAGAGATCTGTGCATCATCTGAAAAAAGGTAAGAAATTATTTAAATTTCTGTATGGATCTGAAAACAACATATAGAGCAGTTACTATAAAACAATTCATGTTATTGCAATGAAGTTAAACTAGGACAGGGCAGTGACTCTAGAGTCTGACAATGAATAAATGAGTCAATCAAATAAATTAATAAGATTTGGAATTGAAAAAACAAAAACTTGCACTGAAAAAAGCTTTAATGCAACAGAAAAAAAGTCCCGGCATTGAAAATAGTTGAAGTGAAAATAGACTAAAAAACAATCCAAGCTTTCAATAAAGAAAAATTGGAACACATCTGTTCACTTTTGAACAGATGTGTTACAATTTATTCACTTTACTTTTGTACATGTATTATTTTGATATTTGGATATTTTTTTCAATTCTGATGTGCTGTGGAGAGATCGTCCCCCTTCCTTACCTGGCATCCACGCCAAAGCCTCTGGCTGCCGGGTTATGACTGCACACTTATATCAGCAGCTTCCTTGAGTTCACCTGAAACTCTCAAACCACAGTTTGTTTTTCTCTACTAGTTTTTTAAAAATGGTACTGGGCTGGCATACGTTAAGCCTCTTTAATGTTATGTTCTCTCTCTTCAGTATTCTGTATCACCCCTCGCTTCAAACCTTTCCACTCTGATACAGTGACAGAGAACTGAAACTGAAAACCATTGATGCTGAAACTGTCAGCATGTACAAACACTGTCACTGAAAAAAGACTGACTTGAAGAAAAAGATCTGAAGATAATTCAAAAATATCAGACACTAGAGACCATCTGGGATCACACCAGCCATGATGTCCATAAACATGATGATGTTCCGACCCAGGAGTACTTAGTAGTCAACATTATTAGATGAGTACCACAGACTGTATGAGAACTTCATTAAGAAATTTTTGAAGTACTCTGTACTCATGGGTCGGAACACACCCATCTTCGAACTCAGCCTTCATTTTGCAACTACACACTGTAAAGTTTTGTGACTGTATCTTGAATGACTGTGATGCTATAGTGGTGACAAAAACTGTCCACAGCTTTACTTTATGCCTGGAGGGGACGGGAATGATTGAAACTGGCATGCAGAGATCTGTGAGTTAATATGAGACGCATTCAAAATTATATTGCTGTGGTTCTCACTGAGAAGATATTTATGCTTTTTTCAGTTGTTGGTGGTTACACAACTAATCCTGGTTCAAGGTTAAGTGTTACTGTAAGGGTTAGGGTTATGTCATTGATAGTTCTCACTGGTAGTCATTTTCCTAAGGGTCCCTTTCAGTATTATATTATTGCTATCACTGACTCATTAACACGAAAGAAACCTTTCATTGTCATAGCTGGTGACAGTGAGGCTAATTCTAGGCTACCTAATACATTTTACATTTAATCATTTAGCAGATGCTTTTATCCAAAGTAACTTGCAGGTGAGGAACAACTCTGAATCTTCAGTGCAATAGGAGACCTTGGTATAAGTACCAAGTCTTTCATCTAATCAATAAATGCAAGGAGATCACGTAAAGAAGTTCACAGAAAGTGCATAGTAGCTGCTAGGTGTTAAGGTGTTAGGACAGAAAGTACTCTGGGAAGCAATGAGTCTTCAAAAGATTCTTGTAGATAGGGACGCCCCTGCTCTGATGGCAGAGGTGTCCCTCTCTATCTTACTGTGTGTAGTTTAACTTGTGCATCATGTTTTATTAACTGCTTTTTACTAACTGCTTATATTATTTTTTAATTCATCAACTTACAGGAAACTAAAATACCAAGATGGCAAATGGACCAGCCTTATCCACTGCTAAAGGTGGGGAAATTTACCTAGGGAGTGAAATCGATAATTCCCTCTCACTTTTGGATGTTCTTTATGCAAATCAGTTTGAAAGAGTGTCTTTGGGTGCAAAACTTTCTGAGCAGACTGAGGAAAACTTTTACAGAGGGGCCCCACCTGAATGGCTGAACTTTCACATTAGTGAACAGGCAGAGTCAGATGGCCTTGGAACTCCTTTTATTAAACGAGATGGATACGATACACTTGTACAACAAATTCGTCAAAGAAGAAAACTCCCTGGAATATCAACGGTTAAACTGTTCCACCAGTCAGGATGTGGGGGAACCACTCTGGCCATGCAGGTGTTGTGGGACTTGCGGAAAACGTTCAGGTGTGCTGTTTTAACAGGCTCAACCTTAGACATCACAAATGTTGCAAAGGAGGTGGTTCACCTTTTCACAGCAGGCAGTCGAGGTCACCAGAACACGGTGCTGCTGTTACTGAATGATGAGCAGATTCTGAAAAAACTGCAAGATAGCATTATGAAGACGATTGCTGAACAGAATATAGTTGTCTATATGCCTGTGGCAATTTTGCTCAGCTGTGTGAGAAAAGATGAAGTACAGCAGAGTGACCATGTTGCCCTACAAAGAGAACTCTCTGACAAAGAGAGACAACAATTCAATGAGAAAGAGAAAGAGCTCAGCAGACGATACAGTGATAAATGCGCACAGTTCTATGGCTTTAACATAATGAAAACTGATTTCTCTCCAGCCTACATCAAACAAGAATGTACACTATTCTCTAAAGTCCAAAGAACAAACAGACCAAAGAAGACTCAGCTTGCTGCCTTCCTGTCCCTGCTGAATGCCTATGTACCAGGTTCATATCTCCTGGAGTCTCAGTGCCTGGACTTCTTAAAACATGATGACCATGGAGACCTTTCATTGGAGGACAGAATGCAGCCCTTTAGTCATCTCATCATCACCTTCCAACAAGACAAACCATCTGAAAGAAGAGTCCGCATGGCTCACTCAATGATAGCAAAGCAATGTACTGAACTGATGGCTGAGGCAGGTGTGAACAGAAGTGACACAGCAAGAAACCTTTTGACGTGTTTGTGCAGAGACGAGGTTCCCACATGTTTGCGTGGCTTTGTCAAAGACATGTTAACCAAAAGGGAAATGAAAAAAGAAGAGAACCCACACAGTGTGACAGAGATTAAAGACGAGCAAGAAAGATTTTCTAGACTGATTCTAGATATTCAGAAAAGGGAGAGCGATGTCGAGAGTGCATCAGTTTTAAAAGTGGCGTCAGAAAAAATGGATGAAAATCCATTTTTTCCACAAGCACTTGCTCGTGTTTATTACATAGAACTAAAAGACTACAACAAGGCAGAAATGTGGGCAAAAGAGGCAAAAAAAAGAGATCCCCAGAGTTCATTTGTTGCTGATACACTGGGTCAAGTCCATAAGAACCATCTGAACTATCTTAAGAGCAAAGAGTTACATGCCAAACCAAGAGAGATCTTGCAACTGGCCACAAAGGCCATTGAAGCTTTCAAACATGAAGAACAACTTGCTGAAAATGAACGTGAGTCAGACATGAAAGGGGATGGCACGACTAAAGTCTCACATGTTTTTAACAGCAGAGGGCAGTTTGGTTACGTGCAGGTTTGCAACCTTCTGTTTGACCTTCTTGTTCATCAGAATGAAACCTGGAGAAATGTTCTCACAAAGAACGTGTCCATGAACTCTGTCCTGAAATCACTTGGAGACAACAAACTCTACAGGTTTAATGATCTGATAAACAGCCTCAGAGATGAGGTGGAAAGAAAATGCGCATTTTTTGATAAATACCTGACTTACTCAAAGCCTGACATGACGAAAGATGATGCTTCATACATTGCTAGAGATACCTCAGACTGCTACAGAAAATATGTCGGAGACTCCCCACCCAACCATGTGACAGAAGAATGTGCTCCTTACATCCAGAAACTAAAACAAAGCCTGGCTGAGACCTCTGTTGGAATACTCTCCTACCTTGACAGAGAATACACTGAAGCAGAGCTTAAAGAAATAACTACATGGTGGAAAGAAATCTACTCAAGCAAAGATTCCTTAACAGCTCTGGCCAACTACATTCTTGCTCATATAATGTTATTAAATAAAGGAGTAGATCTTCCCCTTAAACACAATAGTTTAACTGCATTAAGACATAAAATGCCCCTGAACCCAAAAGAAGCACCTGAGCTCCACATGTTAGCCCTCCTCTTATACTGGCCTACAAACAGTGAAGACAAATGTGTCTTCAACCTCACTGAATTGGTCCAGCACATGCGTTGCTCTTATGAACATTCCTATAAGAAATACTTTCGCTCAAGGTACCTTCGCCCTCTGTTTTTCATTGGAAAAGGTCAAGGTCTGAACAGAATTGTTCACAGAAAAGTCCTTGAAGGATGGGCAAATAAGGAAGCAATAAAAGACAAGAGCAACTGGAGCGATGAGAAGATTTTCCAAGATCCGGTGATTCAAGAACATCTTCTCAGAGTTGAAGGGGTGGTACGAAACTACAGCCTGTATGCAACTGTTGGAGGCACACAGATTGAAGTGGATGCAAACCTGCGAAACAGCCTCTGGAAGCCACGACAAGTTTCCTTTTACCTTGGATTCACCATCAGAGGACCTGTAGCCTTTAGCATCCAGACCAAAACTACAGAAAAGGGTAAGAAGGACATCATAAACTAACAGGAATTTTTTTATTTTGGAGTGACAAGTTGCTGTTGAACTTTTTTTATATTATTGTGCAACTGTGTACACCATTAATCAGATTAGATCCCATTGTATTTTGTGGCAGTAGAAATCTCAGAGATGGATGTCTCAAAACCTGGAGAAATAAAACCCAAACTGTCTGCCTGCCCAGATACCACTAAAGGTAAGTACAGTAAGAAAAAAATGTGTTGTCATTTGGGTGTACTAGTCCTTTTATCTTTACTGTTGTGCTTTAAAAGGGTCCTCTGGGATGTTGATGCCTTCTGGAAATGATGGCAGTGCAATGGTAAGCTTTTTGTTTTTGTGGTTTGTTGTATTGTTGTTTATTCATTTTGAAAAATGGAAAATCCAACAATCACAGCTGCTGATTGAAAAAATATTGTCTTCAGAAACAGGACTCCACTTAGACCGGAAGTCAATGAAGGATGAGGATCATACCTATAGGTAAAGATTTTATCTTAGGTAATTAATTTCAATGCAGATCACATGTGAACGGAGAAGCAATGATGTCTAATTTCAGTGTAATCACTGCTCTGTTTTATATGACTAATGATGCTGTTTGCACCAAATAAAAACAAAACATTTTGTCTTAGTCCAAATTTGCTCTTGTATGTTCCTTCATACAGTCATTTGTTTTCTCTTTCACAAAATTAGCTTACAGTCTAAGGCAGGTCATGCAGTTGTCATGCATTGCTTTTATGTTGATTTTCTCAGGTCAGCATTTTGTGGATCGCCATCGCACAGTTCTAATTAATGGAGTACGTGACACAAGAGCCATCCTGGACAAGCTCATGGATGAGGGATTGATCTCAAATGAGACCTACAATGCTGTGAGAGCTTCGACAACCCAACAAGACCAGATGAGGGAGATTCTCAGGTTTGTGAGCTCAGCCGGCACAAGAAGCAAAGATGCTTTCTATCAAATCATTAATGAAAAGTGTGACTTCATGACCTTAGGGAAATTAAGCTCCTAAAACTTCAGTTATTTGCATAGTATTCATTTTACTATTTTCTTTATGGATTTATGGAATATATGAAAATATTTTTAAAAATCTCTTTAGCAACATACAAAGAAATGTGTTCTTAGTGAAAAATAATTAAATTTTTAGATGCATTTTATATCTTTCATTGTATTTGTTTCATTGCTTATTTTCATATAGATATTGAACGTTTTTTATTAAGCAACATGGGTCAAGCAAACCCACTGAAATTATAAGGGGCACACTTTGGTGCATTTTTAAAGAAACAGATTCTGTTGTTTAAATGTTGTTGTAATTCTTTCAAGATTAGATTTATTCTCCTCATCTTTCCAGAACCTGGGCAAAGCTGCTAGGGGTTCAAAATGTGCCTAAGATGTTGTAAATGGTAGATTTATGATATGGAATAGGGATATTGAAGGTTTGTTGATTTTCTTTTTCTTTTATTTGCAAAGCTAAATGGTTAGACATGAATATGACGGATGATGGATTTATATGAGCACAATGAGTTTAAATATAAAAGGTTTGGGATGAATTATTTTAATTGTGTGTCATTGTTTTTTTCTCTAAATTTTCCTCTGTATGTATCATTTTGTGTTATTTTTGAGACAAAATTAGACAAAGAATGGCAAAAAAGAGCTTTGAGTATTTTAAGTTTGTCATGAAAAAAAAATAAAAACATTTTCTGAGTAAAGTCATGGAGTACTTGTGTTTTTTTTGTTTGTTTGTTTGTTTATTAGGTAATAGCTTAAAATATGTTTGATTTCTGCAATAATAAATCTATTAATAGGCTGGGTTTGTATCGGTTGTATTGCACATTCAAATGCATTAAATAACTAAGGTGTAATTTGTTCATTAGTATATAAATTCATATACTTCTGAAAACTCAATAATATTTGATATTTTTCTGTCATTTTATGAAAACCCATTTTTGGTGTAAAAGATAATTGTAATCTTACTTTCAAATTTGAGACTGCTTTTATTGGGTATTTAGTAGAGTCAAAACAATTGACAGAAGAGTAGTTGTCAACTATTCTAAGAGTTGATTAATCTTTTCAGTCAATAACTAAGAAAAAATTACAAAGAATGCTACTTTCCTTTGTTGTATATCAATGTAAACTCAATATATTTGGGTTTGGGGACTTATAAAAATCAAGAAATTGGAACACATCCACTTGAACTCTGGGTGGTTGTGAGGTTATTCACTATTTTTGACATTTCATATACTACGTGATTAATCGATTCATTGAAAGTAAAAATAGATCAAATTAGAAGCATGCAGGGACTTTTACAGATAGGCAAACAGAAGTTACCTTTTATTACTATGGCCTTTTTTGTCATTTTTATGCCTTACTATACTATGTAAATTCATTCCTGACCATACTATGATGTTTTTATGAACTTTTACACCTTAATATACTATGCATTTTTTGGACGTTTTACACCTTACTATACTATGTTATTGAATTCCTTACCATAGTATGACCTTTTATGACCTTTTATACCTTAATATACTTTGATGTTTTGTTGATGTTTTATGCCATACTATACTATGACATTTTTTTACATCTTTATGCCTTACTATATTATGATGGTTTTTGGCATTTTTATGCCTTATTTGACTCTGTCATTGTATGCCTTACCATACTATGACGTTTTTATGACCTTTTATGCCTTAATATAATTTGATGTTTTTTTTACGTTTTATGCCATACTATACTATGACATTTTTTGACATTTTTATGCCATACTATACCATGACATTTTATAGAATTTTTACGTCTTCATTTACTATGTCATAGTATGCCTTACCATACTATGACGTTCTTATGACCTTTTATGCCTTAATATAAGATGATGTTTTATTATGCCATACTATACTATGACATTTTTTGACATTTTTGTGCTATACTATGCTGTAACATTTCTTGACATTTTTATGCCTTACTATACTATGTAATTTCATTCCTTACCATACTATGATGTTTTTTATGAACTTTTACACCTTAATATACTATAAAAAAATTTTGACGTTTTATACCATACTATACTATGACATTTTTTGACATTTTAATGCAATACTAGACTATGTAATTTCATTCCTTACCATACTATGATGTTTTTTATGAACTTTTACACCTTAATATACTATAAAAAAATTTTGACGTTTTATACCATACTATACTATGACATTTTTGGACATTTTAATGCAATACTAGGCTATGTAATTTCATTCCTTACCTTAGTATGACCTTTTTATGACCTTTTATGCCTTAATATAACATGACGGTTTTTTGACATTATATGCCATACTGTACTATGACATTTTTTTACATTTTTGTGCCATACTATACCATGACATTTTATGGTATTTTTATGCCTTATCTTACTCTGTCATTGTATGCCTTACCATACTATGGCGTTATTGTGACCTTTTATGCCTTAATATAATATGATGTTTTTTTGACATTATATGCCATACTATACTATGACATTTTTTGACATTTTTGTGCCATACTATACTATGATGGCTTTTGGCATTTTTAAGGTATATTTTTGGGGCTTTTTTATGCTTTTATTCGATAGGACAGTAGAGACACAGGAAATGGGAAGGCAGAAGTAGGGGGAAAAGACATGCTGCAAAAGCCGTCCAATGTGGGACTTGAACCGGGGCCAATTGCAGCGAGCAACCGTAGCCTCTGAACATGGAGCACCTGCTTAGACCACTACGACACAAGACATTCCAGCTTATTACATATCTATGCTGTTTTTTCCTCTGTCATTGTATACCTTACCATAATATGAGCTTTTTATGACCTTTTACGCTTTAATGTACTATACATTTTTTTGACATTTTTATGCCATACTATACTATGACATTTTTTGTCATTTATGTGGCATACTATACTACGATTGTTTTTGGCATTTTTATGCCTTATTTTACTCTGTCATTGTTTGCCTTACCATACTATGACGTTTTTATGACCTTTTATGCCTTAATATAACATGACGGTTTTTTGGCATTATATGCCATACTATACTATGACATTTTTTGTCATTTTTGTGCCATACTATACCATGACATTTTATGGTATTTTTATGCCTTATTTTACTCTGTCATTGTATGCCTTACCATACTATGGTGTTTTTGTGACCTTTTATGCCTTAATATAATATGATTTTTTTTGACATTATATGCCATACTATACTATGACATTTTTTGTCATTTTTGTGCCATACTATACCATGACATTTTATGGTATTTTTATGCCTTATTTTACTCTGTCATTGTTTGCCTTACCATACTATGGTGTTTTTATGACCTTTTATGCCTCAATATAATATGATTTTTTTTGACATTATATACCATACTATACTATGACATTTTTTGTCATTTATGTGGCATACTATAGTATGATTGTTTTTGGCATTTTTATGCCTTATTTTACTCTGTCATTGTTTGCCTTACCATACTATGGTGTTTTTATGACCTTTTATGCCTCAATATAATATGATTTTTTTTGACATTATATACCATACTATACTATGACATTTTTTGTCATTTATGTGGCATACTATAGTACGATTGTTTTTGGCATTTTTATGCCTTATTTTACTCTGTCATTGTTTGCCTTACCATACTATGACGTTTTTATGACCTTTTATGCCTTAATATAACATGACGGTTTTTTGACATTATATGCCATACTATACTATGACATTTTTTGTCATTTTTGTGCCATACTATACCATGACATTTTATGGCATTTTTATGCCTTATCTTACTCTGTCATTGTATGCCTTACCATACTATGGCGTTTTTGTGACCTTTTATGCCTTAATATAATATGACGTTTTTTTGACATTATATGCCATACTATACTATGACATTTTTTGACATTTTTATGCCATACTATACTATGGCCTTTTTTGGCATTTTTATGCCTTACTATACTATGTAATTTCATTCCTTACCATAGTACGACCTTTTTATGACCTTTTATGCCTTAATATACTCTGATGTTTTTTTGACGTTTTATGCCATACTATACTATGACATTTTTTGACATTTTTATGCCATACTATACTACGATGGTTTTTGGCATTTTTATGCCTTATTTTACTCTGTCATTGTATGCCTTACCATACTATGACCTTTTCATGACCTTTTATGCGTTAATATAACATGATGGTTTTTTGACATTATATGCCATACTATACTATGACATTTTTTGACATTTTTGTGCCATACTATACCATGACATTTTGGGGTATTTTTATGCCTTATCTTACTCTGTCATTGTATGCCTTACCATACTATGGCATTTTTGTGACCTTTTATGCCTTAATATAATATGACGTTTTTTTGACATTATATGCCATACTATACTATGACATTTTTTGACATTTTTATGCCATACTATACTATGGCCTTTTTGGTCATTTTTGTGCCTTACTATACTATGTCATTTCATTCCTTACCATAGTATGACCTTTTTATGACATTTTGTGCCTTCACATGCTTTGATTTTTTTTGACATTTTATGCCATGCTATACTATGACATTTTTTGACATTTTTGTGCAATACTATACTACGATGGTTTTTGGCATTTTTATGCCTTATTTTACTCTGTCATTGTTTGCCTTACCATACTATGGCGTTTTTGTGACCTTTTATGCCTTAATATAACATGACGGTTTTTTGACATTATATGCCATACTATACTATGACATTTTTTGACATTTTTGTGCCATACTATACCATGACATTTTATGGTATTTTTATGCCTTATCTTACCATACTATGGCGTTATTGTGACCTTTTATGCCTTAATATAATATGATGTTTTTTTGACATTATATGCCATACTATACTATGGCCTTTATTGACATTTTTATGCCTTACTATACTATGACATTTTTTGTCATTTATGTGGCATACTATACTACGATTGTTTTTGGCATTTTTATGCCTTATTTTACTCTGTCATTGTTTGCCTTACCATACTATGACGTTTTTATGACCTTTTATGCCTTAATATAACATGACGGTTTTTTGACATTATATGCCATACTATACTATGACATTTTTTGTCATTTTTGTGCCATACTATACCATGACATTTTATGGTATTTTTATGCCTTATCTTACTCTGTCATTGTATGCCTTACCATACTATGGCGTTTTTGTGACCTTTTATGCCTTAATATAATATGATGTTTTTTTGACATTATATGCCATACTATACTATGACATTTTTTGACATTTTTATGCCATACTATACTATGGCCTTTTTTTGACATTTTTATGCCTTGCTATACTATGTAATTTCATTCCTTACCATAGTACGACCTTTTTATGACCTTTTATGCCTTAATATACTCTGATGTTTTTTTGACGTTTTATGCCATACTATACTATGACATTTTTTGACATTTTTATGCCATACTATACTACGATGGTTTTTGGCATTTTTATGCCTTATTTTACTCTGTCATTGTATGCCTTACCATACTATGACCTTTTCATGACCTTTTATGCGTTAATATAACATGATGGTTTTTTGACATTATATGCCATACTATACTATGACATTTTTTGACATTTTTGTGCCATACTATACCATGACATTTTGGGGTATTTTTATGCCTTATCTTACTCTGTCATTGTATGCCTTACCATACTATGGCATTTTTGTGACCTTTTATGCCTTAATATAATATGACGTTTTTTTGACATTATATGCCATACTATACTATGACATTTTTTGACATTTTTATGCCATACTATACTATGGCCTTTTTGGTCATTTTTGTGCCTTACTATACTATGTCATTTCATTCCTTACCATAGTATGACCTTTTTATGACATTTTGTGCCTTCACATGCTTTGATTTTTTTTGACATTTTATGCCATGCTATACTATGACATTTTTTGACATTTTTGTGCAATACTATACTACGATGGTTTTTGGCATTTTTATGCCTTATTTTACTCTGTCATTGTTTGCCTTACCATACTATGGCGTTTTTGTGACCTTTTATGCCTTAATATAATATGACGTTTTTTTGACATTATATGCCATACTATACTATGACATTTTTTGACATTTTTATGCCATACTATACTATGGCCTTTTTTGACATTTTTATGCCTTACTATACTATGTAATTTCATTCCTTACCATAGTATGACCTGTTTATGACCTTTTATGCCTTAATATACTTTGATGTTTTTTTGACGTTTTATGCCATACTATACTATGACATTTTTTGACATTTTTATGCCATACTATACTGTAACATTTTATGGCATTTTTATGCCTTACTATACTATGAAATTTCATTCCCTACCATAGTATGACCTTTTTATGACCTTTTATGGCCATACTATACTATGACATTTTTGTGCCATACTATACCATGATGGCTGTTGGCATTTTTAAGGTATATTTTTGGGGCTTTTTATGCTTTTATTCAATAGGACAGTAGAGACACAGGAAATGGGGAGGCAGAAGTAGGGGGAAAGGACATGCTGCCACAGTCATCCGATGTGGGACTTGAACCGGGGCCAACTGCAGCGAGCGACTGTAGCCTCTAAACATGGAGCACCTGCTTAAACCACTACGCCACAAGACATTCCAGCTTACTACATATCTATGCTGTTTTTTACTCTGTCATTGTATACCTTACCATAATATGAGCTTTTTATGACCTTTTACGCTTTAATGTACTATACATTTTTTTGACATTTTTTTGCCATACTATACCATGACATTTTATGGTATTTTTATGCCTTATTTTACTCTGTCATTGTATGCCTTACCATATTATGACCTTTTATGACCTTTTATGCCTTAATATAACATGATGGTTTTTTGACATTATATGCCATACTATACTATGACATTTTTATGCCTTATTTTACTCTGTCATTGTATGCCTTACCATATTATGACCTTTTATGACCCTTTATGCCTTAATATAACATGATGGTTTTTTGACGTTTTATGCCATGCTATACTATGACGTTTTTATGACCTTTTATTGCTTAATATAACATGACGGCATACTATACTATGACATTTTTATGCCTTATTTTACTCTGTCATTGTATGCCTTACCATATTATGACCTTTTATGACCCTTTATGCCTTAATATAACATGATGGTTTTTTGACGTTTTATGCCATGCTATACTATGACGTTTTTATGACCTTTTATTGCTTAATATAACATGACGGCATACTATACTATGACATTTTTATGCCTTATTTTACTCTGTCATTGTATGCCTTACCATATTATGACCTTTTATGACCCTTTATGCCTTAATATAACATGATGGTTTTTTGACGTTTTATGCCATGCTATACTATGACGTTTTTATGACCTTTTATTGCTTAATATAACATGACGGCATACTATACTATGACATTTTTATGCCTTATTTTACTCTGTCATTGTATGCCTTACCATATTATGACCTTTTATGACCCTTTATGCCTTAATATAACATGATGGTTTTTTGACGTTTTATGCCATGCTATACTATGACGTTTTTATGACCTTTTATTGCTTAATATAACATGACGGCATACTATACTATGACATTTTTATGCCTTATTTTACTCTGTCATTGTATGCCTTACCATATTATGACCTTTTATGACCCTTTATGCCTTAATATAACATGATGGTTTTTTGACGTTTTATGCCATGCTATACTATGACGTTTTTATGACCTTTTATTGCTTAATATAACATGACGGCATACTATACTATGACATTTTTATGCCTTATTTTACTCTGTCATTGTATGCCTTACCATATTATGACCTTTTATGACCCTTTATGCCTTAATATAACATGATGGTTTTTTGACGTTTTATGCCATGCTATACTATGACGTTTTTATGACCTTTTATTGCTTAATATAACATGACGGCATACTATACTATGACATTTTTATGCCTTATTTTACTCTGTCATTGTATGCCTTACCATATTATGACCTTTTATGACCCTTTATGCCTTAATATAACATGATGGTTTTTTGACGTTTTATGCCATGCTATACTATGACGTTTTTATGACCTTTTATTGCTTAATATAACATGACGGCATACTATACTATGACATTTTTATGCCTTATTTTACTCTGTCATTGTATGCCTTACCATATTATGACCTTTTATGACCCTTTATGCCTTAATATAACATGATGGTTTTTTGACGTTTTATGCCATGCTATACTATGACGTTTTTATGACCTTTTATTGCTTAATATAACATGACGGCATACTATACTATGACATTTTTATGCCTTATTTTACTCTGTCATTGTATGCCTTACCATATTATGACCTTTTATGACCCTTTATGCCTTAATATAACATGATGGTTTTTTGACGTTTTATGCCATGCTATACTATGACGTTTTTATGACCTTTTATTGCTTAATATAACATGACGGCATACTATACTATGACATTTTTATGCCTTATTTTACTCTGTCATTGTATGCCTTACCATATTATGACCTTTTATGACCCTTTATGCCTTAATATAACATGATGGTTTTTTGACGTTTTATGCCATGCTATACTATGACGTTTTTATGACCTTTTATTGCTTAATATAACATGACGGCATACTATACTATGACATTTTTATGCCTTATTTTACTCTGTCATTGTATGCCTTACCATATTATGACCTTTTATGACCCTTTATGCCTTAATATAACATGATGGTTTTTTGACGTTTTATGCCATGCTATACTATGACGTTTTTATGACCTTTTATTGCTTAATATAACATGACGGCATACTATACTATGACATTTTTATGCCTTATTTTACTCTGTCATTGTATGCCTTACCATATTATGACCTTTTATGACCCTTTATGCCTTAATATAACATGATGGTTTTTTGACGTTTTATGCCATGCTATACTATGACGTTTTTATGACCTTTTATTGCTTAATATAACATGACGGCATACTATACTATGACATTTTTGACATTTTTATGCCATACTATACTACGATGGTTATTGGCATTTTTATGCCTTATTTAACTCTGTCATTGCATGCATTTTTGTGGCACGCTTGTCATTTACAATAAAAGAACAAAAATGAGGCATTAATTATCACAAAGTCTTATGTTGGAAAAAACAGGAAAGGTTTTATTTTCCAGGTCACAGAAGAATGTCAAATATACAGCACAGTAATTTCAATTCAAATGATTACCTTTAGCAGCAATTCCACTGAGGAATGCCAGGGAATAAATATAATTAAACAGGTATTCCTTGCTAACGACGTGTAACTTCTGTGTCACGCGCAGTTTTTGGAAATTAGGAAGGTCAAACTAGAGAATGTCACAGCTGTTATTGGTTTATCCGAGACATTAGGTCCTCCAGCTCCGGACGCGCCTTGAACCGCACTTTGTATTCAGCCTCGCTGTGCTGTGAGGAAAAGAGGGGAGAGATGGGGAGATTATTACTGAAATGTTGTTACAAAACATTTTCATAAAATCCATTTCCTGTTTTACTTTAAGGCTGCATATTATCATTAATTCTAAGAAAGTTTCAACAGAGTATTTACTGCACTAACATTGCTTGTGGTGAAATGGTATTTGGCTGACTTTAATGTCGACTTATGCTGGTTAAATTTCACTGAAGTTTTTAATTTAAGGTTTTATGTATAGTGGCAAATACATGGCAAATAAGGCATTTTTACCCGATGTGGAAAAAAAATCTAAACATGTGACAAAAAGTGAGAAAAAATTAAGTTTTCTTCTTCGTGCTAACTCACCTCTTTCACAGAAAGTTGAACTCCCTCTGGTTGATTCTTTAAAAGAACGTCCATGATGACGGGACACAGTAGTGTGTTCAGACTTCTCAACTAGACAAACAGATAAATAACATTGTTCAGAAGTCAGGTCTTCGTCACAGAAAACTAAAAGAACATACACAGACTGAGTTAAAAAAGAGACATTAAACAGACAAACTAACAGTTTTACCTGGATGACTCGCTCGTGAGTCTTTAGGACAGCGTCGGTGTACATCTTGGTGCCTTGCTCTTGCATTAGCATGACCTCTGTGGTCTTGGTTGGCAAAGCGTAGCTGCATGTGAAAAACAGTGATAAAAAAATTTCAAGCATAAAAATTATTATAAATAAATTATAAATAATTATCTTCCATCTTCTACTATACTGCAAAAACCTTCAGCAGGCATTTCAATGGATGATGTGTGTCCATGTAGTTTTGACATCTGTGAACTTACTATTCTTGTTTACAGTTGGAAGAGTTTACTGACCTTAATCTGTCTATATATATATATATATATATATATATATATATATATATGATAAAAGGGCTATTTGCCCATATGATTTTCAGCTGATAGAGGTTTCAGGACTGAAATGTTGTGAATAAAATTAGTACAAATGATCGATAGAATGGAATTTCTTGATTCCTTCATATACAGTAGTTGTGATCCAGCACAGCAGGTTTGCGAATTTTGGCGCGTAGTTAGTTTGTTTGTTAGTTTTTAATGCTGTGTCATGCCAAACATCTGGGATTTCTATATTATCCGTACACTTTACACTGCTACAAGCCGACAGTTTATCTACAAGGCTTTCTCCATGTAACTGGTTATTTTGAATGTTTCATAAGAGAACAACAACTAAATAAAGTTTAGTTTTTATCTTACTAAAATAAAGTATTATGAATTTTCCAGTTAAAAAGAAAAAAGACAACAGAATGATCTCTCTACACACCATATTCACAATTTATCATCTTGAATGCACAGTTGATTTAGTCCATGTGTGCCACATATTTTGACCTACAACCACTGGTTTAAAAAAAATCACAGACCTGTCTGTTGCATCTTTCTAAATATACTCACCACAATGCCACTTTGATGTCGAAGTGGTTGCAGAGTTTGTGGATGTACTGGATGTAGTGCTCCACCAACGTCATGTCGTAACCTGACACCTGCACATTCAGGGTACCGTACGCTGTGTCCGTCGCTTCAAAGATTGGGTTAATCTGACGCTTGCCTTTCTTTTTCCTTTGCTGAAAACAAAACAAATAAACACGTTATGACATCCACGTACAATGTTATTAAAACCAGTGACTTTATACCTTTTGTCCAGATGAGAGGCTTGACTAACGGAAGACCCTTCAGTAACCCTAAGCCTGTGAACAACTGAATGTTTTGTGGATTTTTATGACCAGAATCACTATAGTCTCAAATCTTAAAAGTAGAAGGTTTGAGTGGGTACTTATTTGTTTTTGTTATCTATGGTTTTATTTTCCAGTTATTTATTATCTATGTTTTTACATGTTTTTAAGATTTGCAGCAGAAATAACTGATGTTTTATTCTAAAAATATACTCTATATCTCAGTCTTACCAAATTCTTTCTTAGAAGGTATCTCCAACTCCCAATCCCGTGGGTTGGCATGTTGTGAAATTGTCTGTCATTTGCAGAAGCTGTGCCTGGAGGGAACATTTGTCCATTTAAGTACATAGTCTGTACACACATCCCACACATCTCAGTATTTGCAAGATAAATTTAACACGCATGAGTCTGTCTTTAATTTACATGCAAAGGACATGTGCTTTATTCATACAAGTCTTTAATGACTTACCATATACAGGATGCTGGATGGACGGTGTGGCACTTTAAAGACAACCAAAGAAGTATTAGTCAAACAGTATTAGAAAGTGAGGATGCATTCTGTCAATATATATACTGTATTCTTGCAATTGATCAGTTGATCAAAATTATTTTAACTGAAAATAAGAAACTGCTCGTTGTGCATCTGCAGCGTTATTTTCAAGGCATTTTTCCTTTTAAAATTGCTGAAATTTGGAATCTTAGTAGTTAATTAAGTATGATAACATTTTATTCAACAATTGTTTTTTTAAGTTAAAAACTGTGAAAAATGAAACCCTAAGTTGTAAATAAAATCTTTTTTTTTTGTTTTAGATTTCAAAAGTACACCTGTAAACCTGAGATTCTTTATTTTTGTTATGAAGTAGCATAATCACAACCTTAAAATATAGCCTTCAATTAGGCCATCATACCATATGAGAATTAAAAAGTAAAGCAAAGACTTACCGGCATAATGTAAGGGCTTTATTTAACGCAAACACCTGCTGTGTGAAAGACACCTGCAACTGGATAAAACAGGATACAATCAACTGTCGTTACTACAACATAGGTTTCTCAGTATTTTGTATTTAACAATAAAACACATAACTTGTTTTGATTACGGTCAAGCTAATCTGCCTGCAAATTATATGGTGCAACAATAATAGGTATGTTAAAACCAGATTACTAACACATTGCACGTATGAAAATAATCTTCCGTTAGCTGCTGTTTAAAATCAAACTATAACACAGAGAGATAAAGCAGTACCAAGCTGGCAAAGACTAAAAAATGACTTGAACTAAGAGTAACTAACCGCTGCAGTTTGACCTCTGTGAAAAACCAAACATTTAGCGGAGACAGAAAAAAAAGCCCTTACCTTACGAAAGACAGGGTTCATAGCTCAACGTCTGTTAGTCTGTATTTAACGAATAACACAGGTTGTCTGTGTGTTGTGGTGTGTTTCACTTATGTGTTTTACTTATCTACATGTAACAAGTAAAACCCCAAAACACATGCACTGACTGCTGCTGCTGCTGCTGCTAACGCCGGAAGCGTTCACAGGAAACTAGTGCGTGCGCTAATACAGTCGTCGGTTAAATGCGCCAGAACAAAAGTTCCGGGCACAGAAATCACTTCCAGACCCAGCGAGTATTTCTTTGTGTTGAAGTGTAAAGTTTGTAAGTGTCAGTGTAAGAGACAACAGAGGGTAATTAATTGATGTTGTACTTTTCCATCTTATATGGTCCAATCTTACTGTGGTGCATTTTTTTTTTTTTGCATTTTGATTCTCCCTGTACACAGTACCTTGTAACCTTGTTTGGGTGGTGCTGTATATGTAAAGTTTAAGTCTTTTCTTCTTAGTTTCTCTCTTATGATTATTATAGCTACTGCTTTTCTAGTCTGACTCCAGACCTCTGAATCGACCTGCTTGTTTTCAGAATTTTTTATAACCAAGGAATTGAAACAAAGACTCAAAAGTTCTCATTCTGAATACCTCCTCTTTCACACCTTGCAGACCAATTCTAGTGTAGTTCAATTGTGTACACTTGTCTTTTTCATATTTCAAAACTGTCATAAAAGGACACTTGACCACACATTTCAACAGGCTTTATTTTCATGTATTATTTGTTTTAGTTTGGCCCCTCACAAAATCAACCATATCAAAATAAAAATCAGCTTTCAACATTCATATATTTCAGGCCTAACATAGCATTTTTTTGTAGTAAAGTGCAAAATTCCACATCACCTGAAACTGATATTTTAAGAATAATGTATGAAGAGTGCATAGGAATATTTTAACAATGCATTAATTGCTTTTAAAGCACTATGAATTATGAAAAGCAAAAGTCATCCTGTAGCCTATGTAAACTGTTATTACCACACTGCATTTCTTTTTCTAACATCATGCCAAGCAAACAAACTCTTCAAAAGTACCCATGCACTTTGAAGAGTACATCCTCACTCTTTGGCTTGCAATGTTCAACTCTAGCATGAATTAAACAATCACAACAATCCATACACAAAGGACTCATTCAAGTAGATTGTTACCAGCTTGGTGTATTTGTTTAACCATATAACTTTCAGGACAGAGCTTTGACCTGTTTACAAGGATTCTAATTAAGAAGGCTTTCTATGGTGATGGAAAACTGGGAAACTCAAGGAACACAGACATTTTTGTATCATTGCCTGGTAAGTTATAGGGAAATAATTTCAGAGGATCTGTCTGTGAAAGACATCTCTCTGTTTTGTACCTGTTGTTCTATTAAAAATTCAGGTGAAAGTTCTTAAAACAATTTTGTTAAAGTCTGTCAGTGCTGTAAAGTCAACTATGTCACATTTTGGAAAATTTTTACCCAAGTGGTAGAAAATCTGGCATCACAGATGTGCAGAGGTTTTGCCAAATTCATTTTCAAGTGTTTGAGTCCTTCCAGCCACATTCTGTCATTACACATTGACATTCATGTGTGTACGTATACAGCAAATATCTTCTAACAAAAAGCACCTTAATTAAGTTAGTAGTATGCAACACAGGTTTAGCATGAGATTCACAATGGCAGATTCTCAGTGCACAGTTAGTTTTATATCCAGCTGAAACAAAGTTATCATCCACTATGTCTCATAGTATTGTGGGAGGGTTTGAGGCAAAAATTGGCAGCTGCTCGAGTCGTGTTTTGTGTGTGGGACATTCAAAGAGAAGATGGGTGCAACACTAAAACAGACACTAAAACCATAACATCTGTTGCACTCACCCACAGTTAAGGATCAAATTCAAAGTGCTTCAAAAGGTGTAAAAATATATGTAAACAAATCATGTCCTCAGTTAAACTCCCCTCTCTTCCTCATCTTCCTCTTCTCTATCATCGTCGTCGTCCTCATCTTCTTCCTCTTCACTCTCTTCCTCCTCCTCCTCCCCTGGACTGTAAAGATCATCAGCCAGCTGGTCATGTCCGTCCTCCTCCTCTTCCTCCTCCTCCTCATCTTCCTCTTCCTCCCCCTCACTCCTCATTTCTTCCTCGCTGCTGTCATCGAAGTCGTCGTCATCGTCTTCATCCACAGCCTCTTCCTCATTCTCCTCCTGCTCCTCCTCTTCCTCGAGATCTGAGAGATGACCTGATGGTTGGACACATTTCTTTAACCCCTGAAACTCTGGCGTTTCGCTGACTGTGACTTTATCGTATATAATGCTTTGGACAAAATAATATTTGGAGATGAATAGATGAGAGAAAATTACTTACACATGGAATTAATGGCAGCAACAATGTGACATGGTAGTTCATCATCCAGGAATTTTCTCATTTCTTCTTCCATCATTGTTACAAGAACCTCCGTCTCCATGTCGACATATTCTGGGTAGAACATGTTTTTTCTTAGCTGCCTACGGCACCTAAAGACACACACACACACACACACACACACACACACACACACACACACACACAAACCTTAGATAAAGCCTTTTTGATTGGATTCCAAATTTCAAGACACCTTTTTTTTTACATTTTTCCATCTGCACGTTAAAATAAATATACAGCTGCAACGATTACTCAATTAATCGATCAACAGAAAATTAATCTGCAGCTGTTTTAATGAGTGATTAATTGTTTTAATGACATTTTAGGCAAAAATGCCAAATAACAGTGAACTGAATATCCATGGGTTATGTACTGGTGGTCAAATAAAACTATTTTAATGTTTTATGTACATAATGATTAAATGATCAATCGAGAAAATAATCAGTGAAACGAACCCATAATGAAAATACTTGTTCATTTCAGCACTGAATTAATATAAAAGTAGTACATACTGTTTTCCTGTTGTCTTGTACGCCTGAAATAGGGACAAAAACAGAAGTTTGGACACAAATTATACAAAAAGCAGATTTTAAAAATCAGCCAAATTGCAGCTAAGAAAAAATAACTTATTCAATAGAGGTCATTTATTGAGGGAATCTATTAAGAATATCAACTTCAACAACTGAGCCAGTTTTTGTCACTGTTCTAAAGCTGAAGACATTCCACCCAGTTATTACATGTGTCTCACCTCAATGAAGCGGAAAGGATCGTTTTCCTGCATGAGGCTTTCCATGCCGCAGCGAGCCTCCTGGAGACGGGCCTGGTCCTGGCAGATCCTGGAGATGTTCTTCTGAATTGCCGGCCCATTGGTCTCACAGTGAGTGCGTGTGCAGTCTCGCAACCTGTGGACGAAGCTGAGTACCTTGCCCTTCATGTCCTCACCCAGCCTGGTCAAGCACTGCTCAGAGTCATCCATGAACTTCTGGATGAGGAGAAAGAGAGAAAGAACACATGTTACCAGGACGACAGTGTGAAACATCACACAGGTGGAATCAACCAATCATTTTTCATTAACTTAATAAATGTGTTTATGAATAAATTTCCAGCTTAATATACTGCATCACATATTAAGCTGTTATCTTAACGTATTCTCTCAAGTTTAGTGAACTTAACTTAATTGAATTTACATTAAAACAAGTGTCATTTATTTGACTTTGAACAAACTGTTCAAGTTTAGTTCTGTTACCTCAAATATTTCAGTCAGCATGGAAGCTTAAATTTTTTAATTGAACCAGTTTACAATGTTTTACAGCGTATGTCTGTTCTGCAAGTGTTACAAGCCCTCAGTACCATGGACAATGTATCAAAATACAATACATCATGATACAAAATGTCACAAAATGTACCACTTGATCTCGTGATATGTATTGCATGGTCTCTTTACACCGGCTGCTTTTTATTTTTTGCCATTTTGATAACACAGCAGCAGTCAGTAGCCATCCATACATGTCTTTCCTCGCCTATTCCACACTTTGTACTGCAGAGGGCGCAATAACCTTTCTTATAGAAAACAATCTTCAAGGAATTTCACTCCCCAAATACAGTAGCAGCGGGACGTGACGTTAGTAACACAGAGATATGAAAATGCTCCACCTACACTTAAGTCATGGGTGTGGCAGTATTTCAGCTGTCCTATAAAATATGGGGACCCTAATAAATTAACCTCAAAAATTAAACAAAGTTTTCATTTTTATTACAGCACCGTGAGCAACAGCAAACACACAACTACTCTTAGCATCTTAATGTTGCTGTCCATGGTGCTGAACCATTTATGAAATAACTACAAGTCATTCTGTGTGTAAGGGGTACCAAATAATTAAATGACACAATAGAAGCATTTTATTAACTAGTCATCATCATGAGAACATAAAACAACAGGCTGTGAGGCTTTAAGTTTCCAGTCTTTCTAGTTAAAAGTTAATAATATTTAAGAACATGTGCTTCATATTTCTTTTTTTTCTAAAGGCAGGCATGCACATTAGCATAAACCACAATTTATTATACAAATGGTCAAATATTGAACCGTTATCAAATTTGTTAGCCTTGTTGAACTTCAAGTGTGTGCCATTTTACCTTGTTCTGTCTCTCCTTCTCCTTCTGCTCCTGGAGTTTCTTCTCTGTCATGCTGTACTTCCTGTCAACCCTATACAGCTGCTTATCCAGCGTGCCCTGGTGAACACGAGGAGACAAGAGCTCAGTGAAAAAGACATCACAGCAGATTTCAAGATTTTAAATATTACAAAAAGTAATCAATCACAATTACTACTGTTCCAATGACAAATACTTAATAAGTGCTGCTTACAATGTCTTTGAAAAGTCATGTGGATAGCCACTGAAATATCTTGTCTTCACATTTTCTTTTTATTTTATCTTATTTTCTTATGTTTGTTTTTTTTGGGACATTTAATGTCTTTGAATTTGCTATTAAATAGCAGTAACAGTAGAGAGCTAACAGTATTACCACTACATCTGATTAGTTTCTTGATCTTTTTTCTGAATATATCACCAATGTAAAGTGACTTAATAGAGTTATGCCCATAACACAGCACCATATCCTGTACCAGTACTGCCAGTGTAGTGACATTAAAGTCCAATAAATCACAAAAATTGCTTTGTTCTCCTTAAAAATTTCTTGAAAATTAGATTATCCAATGAAATAGACACTATCATTGATATACACACCATGGGAAAGATTATTTAGACCTTTCAACAACAGAAATACAAGGAGAAAAACACTGTATTAAATGGGAAATTATGATGAAATTTTTCAGGAAATTAGCAGGAAAATATTGGGCCCATAAAATTAAGCATCGCCTTTACATTAATTTAATCTTTCTTAAGTGCCCAACCATTATATAAGTTAATCAGAGTATAAAAGTTATCAGCCAAACACTTGAAACTTTGCCTGTGGTTGTGGTTTGCCTATTCCCCCAGAACCATTTAAGGGGAACCAACAATTATGTGGAGGATCTGTCATTGTTCTATAACTCCATCTGGCTGCCAACACAGGGAAACACTGCTGGAAATTGTTCAATGCCTACTGCCTAACTGTTGAAATTGAAAATATTATTTTATAACTTAGGTTTAAAGGGACACTGGTTATTGACACTGGTTATACTGATGCCATTTATGCAACATGTTGAATTCAACATGTTACAAACTGAATATCCAGAGCAACAAACTGGAAGCCTCTCAACCTCACACTCTGTGTAGGAGCATGGAGGCACAGGAAGTGGATTTAAGAGAGACCACAAAGTCATGTGACTCTTCCATTCATTTACACACAGCCATACACACTACAACAACAGAAAGATATTCATTCATTGGGATTCCAGACTCATCACAGGACTTTGTTTGAGCCAAACAATGAAAAGGTAGTTTAACTGAATGGAGTAGGGTACAAAGCCCCAAGCTCTGAGCTCCAACATGTGTGTTTCAGAGCATCATCATGACTATATGAGACGTGGTTAGGGTTTAAAAACAGAAACCCTGCCTTTCTTCAATGAGACTGAACAAACCGCACGGCTGAGCTATTCCAAAATCTTTATAGAGGAGGGTGGGAATTTCCTAGCTTATTTTATAATAAATAAGGCAGTGTAGAAGTAAGTGTACCTTGAGATCCTTCATCGTGTTTTTCAGGGTCTTCATTGTGTGTCCCGAGTGCTCTCCTTCTATGGTGCAGGCGTTACACACGCACACCTTGTCGTCCATGCAGTAGTATCTGGAGTTGCAAACCAAATAAAAACAAGATTCAAATAAAACTTATAACAGACAGAAGTACAGCACTGCACTCACTAATGAAGTGGTACTCAAATACTGCCAAAAAAAACAACTATTAGATATATGTTAAATTGAAAAAGGGGGGGGGACGTTGTGCATCCCTAGTTTATATCAGACACTTGTTTATTAGTATAAGTATTATTTTACTACTCCAGTATTTGTGGCCCAATATTAGGTGGATGGGTGATTAGAGTAACCCTACATAAAAACCCTGTGGGATGAAGAAAAGCAGAATTTGACCATGTCTCCTACCTGTATATCTCATCATGCTCTGGGCACTTCCTCTTCCAGAAGTCGTTTATCGGTTCTGTCAGCGGATGCTCGCAAAACGCCGGCAGTTCCAGATGTGGCTTTACATGCTCCTCGCACATAGACACCTCGCACTTCAGGCACGTCTTGACTGCATATGTTGACACAGCAGCAGCAGCAGCAGCTTCCTGCCTGTCTCCTCCTTCCTGAGAAACAGAAGCAGCAGAGGACCCGTCCCGAGCACCACTGATGCCTGATGCCTCGGCGGCGACTGAGGGGCAGTAGTCACATGGAACAGCAAACACACCCCTGGTTGGCCGTGCTGCCAGTGAACACGATAGCAGTTCTCTGGACTTTAAAGCTGTGGCAGCTGCAGTGGTAGCTCTGCGTCTATGACGGTAGTCATCAGCAATATTGGCTAGTTTGAAATTTTTCTGAAAGCTGGTACCACACCGGTGGCTGTCGCGGCATTCTGGGCAGCGGAGGCGACCTCGATCCGCTTGCCGCTTTAGGTGATCGAGGCAGTTCTTGCAGAAGTTGTGCCCACAAGGAAGCAAATGGGGGTCACGGTACAAGTCCAGACACACCGGGCAGGTGAGCTCCTCTTGCAGGACGCTGGACTCTGACTTGGCCGAGGCCATGTCAGTAATCAGGCTGCAAGGCCAGAGAGATGAGCTGGAGACACGTGGATGTAGTGGGAGAGGAGAGAGTGATGAGAAAGATGCGGATGGATATAAGTGGAAACAGCAGGATGAGGAAGTGGTGGAGACAGGAGATGAAAGGTGAAAACAGTTAAGAGAGAGAGATGGAGATTGGCAGAAAAGAGAGACTGGGAGAGGAGAGTGATGACTGGATTATTAATTATTATTACTATTATTATTAAGATATAAAATGAAGAAAAACAGAAAGCTGGAAACAAAGCAGTCTTTGGCATTCATTCTTTAAGAATAACTGAACACCCAAATAACTAGTTGCAGCTCTCTTTGTTTATATAATCAAGGTTGAAACATGAGTTGATTACTTGATTAGACAATCGACAGAAAATGTACAGCTTTCAATGAATTAACCAATTTCAGTCATTTTTAACCAAACAAGCCAAACATTTGCTGGGTCCAGGCTTTAAAATATTCTGTTTTACTGCTTTTCTCTGTCATGTATGACTGTAAACTTGGTTTAGAACTGATGGTTGGTACAAAACAAGCAATCTAAATACATCCCCCTTGGACTTTGGGAAATTAAAAGCGGCATTATTCAGTGTTTTGGTCATGTTTTAGACAAAATAATTAAGCACTTAATTGGGAAAATAATATGCAAATTAGTCTATAAGGAAAATTACACTAAATGTGCTTTCATTATCTGTAACTGAGAAACATTTCAACTATTTTGTGACCACATGTGAGACTGGTTCCTCGACTTCCTCGAGTCAGAGCATCATTATGACTTCCTTGTTCCTGTATATGTCTAAATAACGGATAGAAATGAAAGTGAAAATACTGTAGTTTTAGGGCCTTGCGACAACCTCTCAAACAAGGTCATTTTGTCCTGCTTGTTCAAAACCGTCTCTACTCTATTCAAGGGCTTTGACCTAAAGGTAACCTGCTCTGTGTTGTTTACATGAGACAAAAAAGTGGTGCCCCAGTTAGTCCGCAGTGACTTCCAGTCTTCCACCTGCCAGCTATAGACATGATAAAGGCCTGTGTTGCTGCTCTGTCAACGGTTACCCCTGAAAGATGAACCTATCTCCGTTTATTTAGCATGTTTTTCCTGATGGCTGCCCTAACGGTGCGTTAAGTGGTCAACCAACAATTAGTTAACTTTCCTGCTCGTTAGTTTCACTAATCTACCGGGGTAGTGATGAGCTAAAGCAAAATACGAAAGACAGACACACAGACAGACAGACGGGTTGTTACCGCTGCTTACCTTGATAATGTAAATACGTATATATTGTCCTCGTACAAAGCTAAAACACTTGGTTTTCACAGCTGCAAAAGCTGTCTTGATCAAAACAAGATAAGGTCGAAGTCTCAGATCTCGACGCTGCGGTGCACCTGTCGCGCTGAGGCTAACATGTTAACGTTGCGACCGGTTAGCTCTGCTGTCTTTGTTTTTTTTTCGCCTTTTTTTCGTTCCCACAGCGTCCGCAAACAGTCCCGGAAGCTTTAGGAGTCCCAGGACATATTCCAGTCATCGGGCACTTAGTTTATCATCTGGAGTTTTCGGCATTTGACACAACGGCACGAGCTGACAGACACCTGTGCGACAGACGAACGGACGGTTAGCTGAAACTGGCAGGTTGATGCGGAGAAAATGATCCCTTCACGGATCCTCGGAAATCCCGATGTTGCACTACATTCGAATGGTTGACCACCGAGGACACTGCGACATGAATGTTGCCACAATTTAAACAACAACAATGGATACAGCACATTAACAAATTAAAAAACGTTCAATACCAGTCAAATGTTTGGACACACTGTCCCACTGAAGTGAATGTGTTGTGAGTCATATAAAGTTTTCTAAAGTTTTCTTTTAATCAATTGTGTTTTGGACAGAATGCAAAGGAAATTAGTTTCCGTGGTCATTAAGATACAACACAATACAACACAGCATCTTTATTTCTTTTTGTTTATGCGTTAAAACAGCAAACGGTTGAAAAATAAACATTTAACAATAAACTTTAAATCTAATATTTCTCATATGAAGGCAGCAAGCATCAACAATACACCATCTGACACCATCTCAATTCACTTCAGCTGTAGTTAAACTCTTTAAAAACACAGAGAGAAAGCAATTCATTGCCAAAGAAAATGTATTCATTAGTTTTAGTTATATTTTCACAACATGTTTCTTTAAAAACAGTGATTTATGTTAGACATACACATACATAATACATTCAAGTAACAAGAATACAACCAACAACCCATATAATTTGATAAAACTCCAGTCAGATGCAATCCAAACTATTGTGTGGGTGTTTAAGTAAGGTGTATAAAAAAGTATATTTTAGGGAAAACTAATAACTTTATTATTTTCTTAATTACATCAGATTCAGACCTAATGCTCAGATTAATTATACTTTATTAAACCAACTGTCACTTCGAGCATTTTTTTAAACATTTATTCAATGTCCACACATTACAACTATATTTAAGATATGATCATAGAATTTAAAATTAAAGCTACCTCAAGATACTGTAGATCACAGTTTAAAAAAGAAAAACATAAAAGATGTACACATGATGTTGAAAGCAAATATTTTATAAACCCACCGTCCCTTCATAAAAAATAATGTGTAAATAAACATAATTTGGTTTGAATATACCGCCACCTCCAACTTCCCATCTGAGTCATATAGTGTAAAAATAACATCGGTGTATATAGGAAACCTTACAGCTATTTGTTTATGATTTCGTACATCTTTCTCCTCCAAAAGGAATCATTTTTAGCGACATTAGAAATATGGCTTTGGGGATGACAGTGGCGGTCTCTTGTTCAGGACTGAAATATCTGAGCAACTACTAGCTGGATTGCCATTGTATCAAGCTGATATTTGTTGCACCTTTATTATAGTCCCAAAGTGTTCATTGTCAATCATCTTCCAGGGCTGTGAGGAACTCCCACTTTGAAGAGGACGGGACCCCGAATGGTGAAGCCAAGATAGAAAAGCATGGGGCTCACCCCTGAATCATCTTCTATTGAAACCTTGATTTTCTTCCCACCAGCACAAACAAACATTTCCTGTTCTTCGTGCTCGTGTGACCTGGGGAGAGAGTGGCAGGGCTCTAACCTGACCGGGAGAAGGATTTTTTGGATTTCTGGTACTTGCCACACTTCTCCACTAATCCACATGTCATTGATCCGGCAATCTTTCTTCTTAATTCTTTCATCTTGTTCATCAGCCAGATCAGCATCCACCTTTCTTTCCACAATGGCATCCAATCTTGATTTGTGAATCCATTTGCTCAGTCCAGAGCCCTTACCAAGAAAAAACAGAGGCAAAAGGTAACGGCCACGAAGGTACTTGGCATACTTGCCTTCCTCAAACGCTTCCTCCATGAATGTAATGTACTGTTGCAGGTTGGGCTCAAACACTTGGTCAAGAGGCAGCTGTGCAGGCTCTCCTCTGGTTTCTTGTTCCTCATTACTGTCCTCATCGTCCCAGGTTTTGTCGTCTGATGCATTGTCTTCCGTCGCATGTTGGTCTACTTCTTCATCATCCTCTTGTTGCACCACCTGAGGCTGCTCCTCGGGCCAAAACAACAGCAGAACCAAAAGGCAAAACTCCGGGTTTCGCTGCCTCTCATCTGTGCCCAAGAATCGGTGAATTATTGTTTGGAGTTCTCTCACCGGGGTGAGGTGAGGAGAAACAGGCGCCCTGTTGCTCAAGATGATGTTGGAGAGGATGTACCTCTCTGCTACTTTGACATCAACATTTCCCTCAAAGGTGGTTTTCAAAACTTCTTGGATTGCCTCTAACTCAGACACTGTTTTCTCACTCTCCTTAAACTTAGCACGTCTTCCCTTTGACCTGAACAGGCCATGATTCAGACAATCAAGAAGTCCTGGAAAGCTGGTGGATTCAGCTGCTGTTTTTGTTGTGTAGTTTTGGTAACAAAGTGCAACATCCTTCCAGAAGTAAGGTGGCTCAAACGTTGTCATGTCAGGCTTGGAATAGGTTAGGTACCACTCAAAGAAGTCAAACTTGGCTTCAACTTCCACTTTTCTTTTTTGGATGATTTTCCTGCGTTGCTGTGCAGGGAGTTTGTCAAAGGCGAGCTTTGCCACTTGAATGAAACCAAAAAGGCCTCTGTTGTTGAAGGAATTGGAAGTGCTCACAGTACCTTCTGTGCCGTTCATCTCTGGACCCTCTTCTTTCTCAGCTTTCCTCTCCACGTCTTTAAATGCTTGGAAGGCTGCTCTCATCATGTTTAAGATATTATCTGATCTCTTGGATTCTCTCATAAAACGGTTCTTATAGACCTGCCCAAGAGTGTCAGCCACATAAGAGTTGTCTTTAGCTCTTTCAATGGCTCTCTTTGCCCAATCTTCAGCATATTCATAGTTAGGGGGGCGCTTTGCAATGTAATTGAGACGGGAAACAGTCTGGGGGAAAATGGGGTTTTGTTTGAATTTATATGATGCAGTTCTCAAGACACATAGAGCTTGATAAAAATTCTCCTCCTCCTTTATGTCTTCAATTAACCTTGAGAATTTGTTTTTACCGTTCTCTCCCATTTCTCTCTTTGTCAGCAAATCTTTGATGAACTGGATCATGTGTTGTTGGGCCTGGTCTCCACACAGTGAGAACAACTGCATCACTGTAGCACTCCTGGAGATACCTAAGTCGGCCAGTAGCTCCACAGCTCTCTGTGCACACATTTGATCAATCATACATACATGTCCAGGACGGGGTGTTCTGATAAAACCAGTAAAAGGCTTCATTCTTTCTTTAAAGGGGGGGCCTCCATGGATGGGATCAGGTGGTCCAAGGACCTGTTGACACTCTGACATCAGAAGGTAGGACTCAGGAACATACGCGTTCAGCAGTGCCAGTAAAGAGAACAGTTTTGTATTGGTGGAACTTTTGTGTTCTTTCACATACTGTGAAACATTTTCAACAAGATATTCCATATATTCCTCTGCTGTCACTATCTCTTCACCAATCTGAAAGATGTTATCACTGATGTCAGAGCCCACAGTTTCTGCTGTGTTAAATTCCATGGCGGTAAGATTAGACTTTGAAACAAAGATGGGAGTTTTGTTTTCTTCTTTTTGGATTTGCTTGCAAAAGGTAGTCCAGCAGTATTCAAATACCTGAAGAAGTGACACAACAGAACCCATATTAATACTTTCTTTTAAACATACAACTATTTATATAACCTATTGTTATTATTCTTAATTATATAACCTTTATTCCATACCAGTTTCTAATAAGTCACCCTTTGTAAAGGATTTTTATTAGGCTCACTGGTGGCGTGGCTCAATGGGCCAATGACAGTGAGTCAGTCAGTCAGTCCACCTTTTAAGTCAAGTCTTTGGTAACTTTTCATGTGGCACCATGTTGTCAAAAGTTGTATTGTCCCAATATTTAAGTTTTTAGCAAGAATTCCAATTTATTCTATTTAATATTAATTATTTAATTATTATTTTAGTTAGTAACAACTTATATACCCTTTTATGATTAGTGATTTACCCCTTTCTGGTCTCTCAAATTTACTGTAATTTAATTTAATGATGTTGTATGATGTAACTGGCCACATTTATTTGACTGTCTGCAGATTCCTGATGATGGAACACATATAGGCTAACAAAAACAAAACGGTTACAGTGCTATAAAGTTGAATAATTAAAACAAATAAAAAATATTAAATCACCAACCAAAGACATTTCCAGGAAACTTTTTATTTTTAATTCAAAAGTTTCATTTTGAAAATATGTAGATCATTTTTGGAATGGGTTTTGAAATTCTTGTTAGTATTAATTGTTAATTCAGTTAAGTGAAAAAGAAAAACTTTGAGTAGTAAAATAACAGTACATATACTTATAGTACCAAATATTGCACAAATCATGATCAGATTCAGAATCAGAAAAAGCAACAAAAAATAAACAACAAATGTTAATGTGAATCTTGTTACCTGTTTGAGTTCCTGCAGGTAAGTGGATGACGGAAGTTGCTGAGGATATTATTTATAAAAATTTTGGAGCCACACCTTCTACCTATTGTACATTCATGTCACATCGTGTCATTGTGCTGAGCGTCATATCTCCTATAGTGATCCAACATTTCAATGACAGCAAATGTGGTCCTATTGTTGTTTGTCTGAGTCAAAATACTATGAATAGCTTGAGCTTAAGTTAAATTTACAGGGAAGTGAAAATGAAATCCTTCAGGTCAGTCAAACAGGATAATAAATGATTTCCTGTAAACAGACAGTGAACTTTATCAGCCTGCCTTTCTTAATGTGATTAACCTTTCAATTAAAGAAACCCTGTATCATTTTTCAGTTTAGTATGAAATAATTTAAGAATTCTATAACAATGAAAATTACGATGTTACTAGAGCTTATTATCCCACCTTACAAGGCCCTAGCCCATAATATACAATGCATAATCCTAAATCTAAAAAGTATAATATAGTTGTTTTCACATACTGAGTGGCTACAATAAATTACAACCAACATACAGTAAAACATTACAGCTGTACTGATGAATAATGTCATATTAACGATGAGTTAAATATGTGTATGTGAACTCTGGAGTTC